TGAATTGATACTGAATCCATTTAGCCTACCATGGATTTACTGTAAGGTTAGCCTGGTAATATTAACTGCACCATGAAATGTGGGATACATATTGAATTGTATAATATTATTAATGTTGACAATGTATTATGACTAATGGAATATAAGTACAGTATTTAATAATGTATTTATTTAGCTGTTAGGCTATTGTTTTTCATTCAAAAAATACAGAAACCATAAAGTTATGCCATGATAGTGAGGAGCTAAGTTATAGGCTATACCTGGTTTTATCTGTGGTTATCATGATCTAAATGCATGAGACTGAATGACCAATGGTTAATTTGAATACAACTCAAACAGTCAGAATATTACTTTTTACCACATAAAAATGTGGTCGTTACATAAGAAAAAAAAAAGGAAAAAAAAAACAGATGTTACTGTTTTTGTTAATAAACATAAATTTAAAGAGTAGTTTAAAAACACAATTAACACTCTGGTTTATACAACTTTCACTTAGTCGCAAAAATCTGCCTTTAAACTTGAAAAAAATAAATATTTGACATATATCGTGATAATTATCGATATCGACTGATATAAAAAAAATTATCGTGATAATTTTTTTTGGCCATATCGCCCAGCCCTAGGTTTAGGTATGGGGTAGAGTTAGGATCCCATAACCTCATCTACCGACGTTTAAGGGGGCCCTAAAAAGGCGAATATTGACGTATGGTCAAAAGACGTCGGAAAACGTCAGTTATATGACGTCTTGGGATGAGACCGGGTTGCCCAGCAATATTGTGCCTTGTAAACGTTCATGGTTCAAGACAGTACTGTTGCAGCTTTGTACCGGAAGGGTCATTATCTCATTTTCTTTGGCACACTGTTCTTGATCAGGCCTTTACATTACTTTGATCTGATTGATTTGTCTGAACTCCCACATTAGAATTCCAATTACTGTGTAGTGTCTCATGAAATAACACCAATCACATGAAACATTACCATAATAGGCCAAAACAAAATGTGCATTATGCTATAGGAATAATTTATGTGGATTTTCACACGTTCCTCAAACCTCAGCTAGTGATTTTTTTCTTCTTCTTCTAGTGAACTGAAAGGTGCCATTTGTGACAGGACTGTGTTGACTTTTTGGGTAGCAGTGAGACATTCTCACCCTTCCACACAGCCTTTATGCATCTCCATCGCTCTCCGTCCATTGCCATCTTAGAGGGTGTTTACTCTTGTCCCATGAGCCTTTAGGTTACTCTGTATTTGCAATTGAAAAAGCTGTCAAGCAATCGGCATCCATCCATCAACGTTTTGCCATGCGATTCTAGTTAAGAAGGTTAGACTCTTCAGTGTTACTATGGGTACTCTTCACACGGGAAAAAACAGCACTTTTTTGTGTACACTTCAAACAGTGAAGTAATACATTTTTGCCTCAGCTGTACAATTGCCTGGCTAACAGACCCACAAAGCAGCTATTCATGACATAGAGACTATAGATTAATTGTCCGCTGAGTTTCGGCATGATGGTACTTGAGCCCAGTGATATAATGTGTCTTAATGTTCTTGGCCATTTGCAACATGCACCAAGGATCAATTTAAACTGGGTCCGATTATTTATTTTGCTGACAAGTAAGGGTGTAATACACTCAATCAAGGTTCGATACAATTCACAATATTATCGCAATACTTTAAGCCAAAAAAAAAAAAAACTTAATTAATTTTATTTCCTATTGAAAGTTTGTAAAATGTATGGTTTAATAAAAAAATCCTAAATTTGGTATTACATAATAACGTACAAGCGCTTCTCCTTGCAGCAGATATTCATTTGTGTGTGTGACGGAGGGATTCCTGCTGCTGTTTTACACATTTTATAAGCTCTTCACGAATACTCAGGCTATGTACATACAATGCCCAGCACACAGCATAGTATTGGATGTTCAGTAAGTTCCGGCAACACAAAAATTGGCGACACATCATACAAGCCGACCAATCAGGTTTTGGATGTATCCCTATGTCTAGGTTTGGTGATAAAAATACCAATTTGAACACTTAGTGGACCAGAACTAAATGTTTTTTTTTATTTATTTTTTTAGACACACCCCTACACTCTTAGAAGAAATGGTTCTATTTAGAACCGGAAAGGGTTCCATCCCCCGCTTCATATATGGAACTCCAAAATGGTTCTATATAGAACCATTTTTTTTGGTAAAAGTTTCTATTGGCCAAGTATGGAACCCCAGGGTTCTATATAGAACCCAAAGGAACCCCTTTTTAAGAGTGTATAGAACCTTTTAGGGGTTCCAAATACGTAGCACTGATAGAACCTTTTAAGGTTCTATATAGAACCACAAACCTCGAATCTGTTTGCTACAACACAAAATTCTTCCAACTTTTGGATGCAGTTTCATAAAGGTCCTCCACACACTTCTGTGGAGCTTGAGAAATTCCCAGCTCGAATTGTCAGGAAAACAATGTCCATAGTTTATTGTCCTCCTTACCAGTAGTCTGTCACCTTTCACCCAGACCCCTGCTGGTTGCGGGAGAGTGTAAGAGAAGGGCTCTTTGTAGGGGGTTGAGAACTGTCTCCGGGGCAGGAGATGTGGGGGATGGTTTGTTTGCGAGAGGATGTAGAGTGCTGTCCCACCACTCGACTGGTGTTGACCAATGAGTGGGACTCTGTGGTGCTGTGGAGAAACGGGTCTGTTATTAGTCAGGGTCGTACGTGCTGGCCACCTGCTGTCTGGAGAGGGGGATGTGTCCTCCTGATTTTTGGAAATAGTGTGCCTGACTTTGCCGTGATTCCTGCTGTCTGTGTCGCCATATAGTAATATTAGTAATATGATGTGCCGTGTTTAATGTCAAATTCATGAACCTTTAGGCCTATTCTATTCCTAACTATTCATTTCTTAACTTTTAGCTTGTTGAAAATAAAGATCTCATTCCCAACAAGTAATCCCAAAAACGAGTTTTTGGATAACACCAAATCAAATATGAATGATTTCTTTAATATTGACAAATCATGCAATAAAACATTTTTATTAAAAAAACCTCACTTCTGAGTTGATGATTTTGTACTTTATAAAATATAACATCACATAATTGTATAATTATTATTAAAATAAACATAGGAGAATGGCAACAGAATAAATCATAAATGGTATTATCTAGAAACCTATATAATACACATTTACATTATATTATATTTAGGTATGCGTGATATATATAGCCACCATATTGGTATCGGCTGGTAAATGTTCATTTTTGATATTATCATTATCGGCCCGATAAGAAAATTTGGCTGATAGTGATATATTAAAGCCGATTAATGTATTATTTCTTCAGCTAAGACGCATTTCAGATTGACACTGGTTGCCATGATGGTTTTAAATTGCTTGAAGTATGATTAAAATCACTTCTGAAAGGAAAATACACTTAAGTGCAACATGTACAATGCAAGTCTTTTAAATAGGTTGCATAAAATTATAGTTGGTACATGGCTTTTAATGGTGTGATTAGTGTTTTTGTAATCAGGCTCTTTAAAAAATAAAAAAATTGGATTTAGATTTATCTGACAAATGTGTGTGTGTGTATGTGTATATATATATATATATATATATATATATATATATATATATATACAGTATATAAAATGTCATATCAGTGCATCCCGATATATCCCAAGATATTATTTTAAACATTTTCATTTTCATTTATTCGGTTTGGTCATTTACAGATCATTCAATTAATCAATCAATCAATCAAATCATCAAAACATTCGAAACATAAATACTATAGATGACCAGGTGCAGGCAGAAGCTAAAGCGTATTATGCCTGCCCTTAACTTTAGAATCAAATGTAACTCATTAATGACAACATCTGTTCATAAAATTAACATTAACACATTAGTGGACCATGATTGTCCACACCAGAAGCAAGCCTGTCTAATTCATTTTTATTCTATTGTATATTTTTCCAATGTTATTCTCTTGTAATATTTTTTAAACTGAAAAATAGACGTGGCTTGTTTTAACTCATTACAACAACTATTCCACAATTTAACTCCTTTATTTGATAAACAGTGTTCTCTTAATGTAGAATGTACTTGTGGTTGGTTAAATATACATAATCCTCTAAGATCATATTTACTTTCTCGCTGGGAAAATAATAATTGCAAACATTTAGGAGTTTTATTATATTTGAGTTGGTAAATAAATTTTAACGTGTACAAATCAACTAAATCATACAACTTCAACATTTTTGATTGATGAAACAGTAAATTACTTGGTGAATAGGTGCATAGTTAATTAATCTGATAACCTTCTTTTGTAATAAAAAAAAATTGGATTGGTTCTAGTTTTGTATGTATTTCCCCAAATTTCAATACCATAATAAACATAATATAAATGCATCCCTAATTATATTTAAGTTCTTATTTTAAACATTATATTATACAAAATTTGTTCCCGTTGTGAAATGATGGTAATTGTGTGAAAAGCACCAAATGATTGAAGCTCTATCCTCTCTTTCTCTGCTTGCATGATCATGTCTGCAAACTGTAAATGAAGAGATAAAGGGATTTCCAGGGACGTTTGTTGGTACTGCATCCCCTCAATCTGATCTCAGAGCCTCGTGTTATGTCTGTATCTTGCGTCATGTGATTTAAGCTGCTTCATAGTAACAACAGCCCAGCTCTACTACTTCCTTACAGCCAATAGGAATGAGGCAGTTGTGTTGCTAAAGGGAATACCGGCCAATAACATGTTCACACACCCCCTCAGCCTCCAATTTAACAGTGCATTGGTTTATTTTAGCAGCAATTTAAATTTGACTTAATCTTATAAAGATTGTTTTGTCTTTGTCATTGGTTTACAGTAACACTGCCTTTTTATACTTTTAAGTGTGCAAATGTGCTTTAAAACCCATTGTTTAATTGTAAATCATTGTAATGGTTTGTGAAGGGTTATTGTTAAGCACTTGCACATGTCCCGCTTACTCATCTGATGTTTTTCTGCAGCTGGCCTGCTGCTGTGGATCGGCTGCCTGCTCCCTGTGCTGCGGCTGCTGTCCCAAGATCAAACAGTCCACCTCGACACGCTTCATGTACGCCCTCTTCTTCATGCTGGTCACGGTGACCTGTGTCATCATGATGTCCCCCACTGTGGAGACGGCAATGCGAGAAAATGTGAGTCTTTGTTCAGAGCTTCTCAGTTTGCATTTTTTAGTATCAGGTTCCCTCATATATAAAGACCATTAAATCTGGTCTCAGGTCAGCAGCAGTGGGTGGCAAGTCAAATAAACCTACTGGTTTGGTGTACTTCATTCATTCATATTCTGTGGGCTGTTTGGGGGGTAAAATCTGCAGAACAGTGTAAAATGGGTTTAAATGTGTTAAAGGGGTGGTTCAGGATTTTGGACATCGGGCCTCATTTCCAAGTTAGCCTTAGTGTTATTTATCAGTGTAGACAGTTTTCAAAAATGTATATCCAGTCTTTCCAGTTGCATAGTTCGCCGGTGCTAGGCTAGCTCGAGCCAACGGTAACTGCTAGCCTGCCATTATAAACAGTTTTACCCACTCCACAGTGACCAAAAGCAAATACATTATAACGCCAGTTGAGAGAATAATGTTAGAAATCAAACTACCCTTTCATTGCATTCCAATAGTTATACTTTGTTCCCTGTATTTATTAGCACAGTCTACAGCAGCGGCGGAGTGATTTGTAGTTACCTAGACAACCGAGAGAGGTAGTGCAGGTAGTTCTGACTGTAGCGAGATTCGGTTCTGGGAACATTATTCTTTTAAAGGAGTAGTTCACTTTTCAAAAAAACTTTTGCTGATAATTTACTCACCCCCATGTTATCCAAGATGTCCATGTCTTTCTTTCTTCAGTCGAAAAGAAATTAAGGTTTTTAATGAAAACACTCCAGGATTTTTCTCCATATTATGGACTTGAACCAAACGGTTCAAGGTCCAAAAGACAGTTTCAGTGCAAACTGCTCAAAGGGCTTTAAACGATTCGGAGAAAAATGTTGGAATTTTTTCATCAAAAAAAACCTTAATTTCTTTTTGACTGAAGAAAGAAGGACATCTTGGATGACATGGGGGTGAGAAAATTGTGTATTTTCTGGTTTGAACCAGTCTGGATTCATTAGAATAGATACTGAATCAACAGCTGATCTTTTTCACTGATATCTGTCTTTAAATGAAGAAAGTGTGGTTTGTGAAACTTAGAGCAGTGTCATTACTGACCACTATTCTAAAGACTCCAATTACATAAATAAAGTAAATCTGGATTTTTTTTTTTTTACTTTTTTGTTAGACTTTGTCTAACCACTATGTCACCATCATAGCTGTTTTCATAGTTTTTGTTTTTTTGCTAGATAGGTAAATGCTTACCTTACTAATAGGTTATGTCCTCTACTACCTGGATAGATCTTTTTAATACCTCAGGGGACATTTCCAGCATTTGTAGGGACAGAATATATACACGTTAATTCATGAAAGAAAAGGTCAATGGAGGGATCAAGGGTGTATTTGCAGGCAGCTAGCCCATGTTATTCAAACAAACACAAAGGAGAGCTACATGACTCTTCTGCTTCAAAGCATGAAAGGAATGTAAGAATGTATTATCAATATTGAAAGAATGTAAGAGTATCAATGCTCATAACATCTAACACAGCAAAACTCTTTCTGCATGTTGATTGTTCTGTAGCTATCTAAAAGAAGGTAACCGAAAGCTGTTGAAATGCACTTAAAGGCTGGGTGTGTAACATGAGCTCAAGCTCTCTTTTTGTTCTCAGCACCACAATGAGTGCTTACTGGGTAAATGCCATGAGTATAAAAACCCTGACACTAAAAAAGACGCTGCCTCTCGGCGAGGCACAAAAGAACGGCCACTGAGGTGCCAAGACACAAAAAGATTTACAGCTGTTGAAGCTTTTTTCACAAATAGTAGTTTCAAATTGAAGAGCACATAAAATCCCCCTCTGGTGGTCTTTCGTGGTTACAACACACGGACAGAGCAAATGGGATGGGAAATGCTGCAATGCTGACAGAGGAACACCTTAACGACCTTATATTATATGATGGTCCATATTATAATAATAGTAGCAGTGCAATCCAGCATTATAACAGGTCTACAAATTGTAGACTGTTGGGAACCTTAATATATTTTAGGAATTGACCAGTGCCTGTAGTGTGTGCCAGCTTTCTCTTCAAGACCACAAAAGAGAACCATAAATGCTGGTTTTGAATTTTGACTGACCTCTTAGCTGATCCCTGAGAAGTTCTTACAGAAAAAAAACATGGCAATTCCGTGCTTTTGGACATGTACAATAGTAATGCTATAGTGTTCAGTACTTTGAAGTATGAATTTGAATATTATAGACCATTTTGCAAGATGTAAACAACACTGGTCCAGAAACGCTTCCTGTTTTCTTTATTTCACATGTAAAGAAAACATCTTAAAGATGTTTGTTTAACTTTCTGATTCAGTTTTTTATGTATTTTTATGCTTTTATGTATTGTTAAAAAACTGAAACAGGAAGTGCTTCTGGACTAGTGTTTTTTACATCTTGCAAAATGGTCTATATTAGTAAGATTTCTAAAAATGTTTGTAAAGTCTCTAATGCTCACCAAAAATAAAAACATTAATCTTGTGAAACCATATATAATCAAAGTAAATCCAAACTTGTTTTTTTTTTTTTCGTCTTGTAATAATTATAAAAAATCTAGGACTTTTAACTTGTATTAAAAACATAATCAGCCTTTGAAAGAGAACAGTGTTATTTCTTTGTGTATATAAGTTGATCTTCGAATTCCAGTGTAAATGGGTGTGCGCACAGATCAGATTCTGTTTAAGTTTAGCCTTGCCCTGAGGCGACTGCATCTATTCTGTTGCTCAAAATGTAATTTTATCCCTGAATTGTTTTGTGCTTTTCTCAGATTCCTTTCTACAAAGAAATGTGTCATCAGCTCAATGCGGGGGAGAACTGCAGTACCCTAGTGGGCTATTCGGCTGTGTATAAAGTCTGTTTCGGCATGGCCTGCTTCTTTTTCTTCTTCTCAGTGTTCACCATTTGTGTGCGAACCAGCACAGGATGCCGGGCAGCTGTTCACAACGGGTAAGCTGTCCACCCAAACACATTTGAAGTGGTATTTACACTGGAAACAGTGCTTGTTCCTCCTCTGCTTTGCTCCGTGGCCCCTCTCAGTCCAGGTTCACAGGAGCTATAAGGACCACCGTGTGTATTGTTTGGCCTTCTGCCTCCATCTGTACTCTACTCCTATTGCTCCATTATTCACCCACAACCAAAGCCCTGAATCGAAGTATTAATTTAAAACTCCGTCCAGAGGAAATGGCGCTTGGAGACGAGCTTTATCCCTATGAATGAGATGGTTTGGCCCCACATGAGAGCACTTCGTGTTGGAATAATCAGATCTTTGTGTTGTATGCAAATGCGGGGTGAGGAAGTATATGTCTGAACTCAGTGTTTTATCCAGCTCCATCTATAGAAAAACAGACACAAATGCCTTAATAAAAACCTAATTTAGGTCTTCCTGAAACCACCCTGTGATGACATACTAACCAGGGTAAACAGGAAATCTTGTACTAGATGAGTTAAACTCCCAGAAAGACACTGCAGGAAAAGTATAATTTTCAAGACATATATTTAGTGTGTATATACACTATCGTTCAAACATTTACATTTTGTTTTAAAGAGGACTCTTATGCCCACTAAACTGCAATTATATGATAAAAAAACAGTAATATTGTGACATATTATTACGAATAAACTAACAGTTTTCTATTTTAATGCATTTTAAAATGTAATTTTTTTCTGTGATGGTAAAGCTGGATTTTCAGCGGTCATTACTCCAGTCTTCAGTGTCACATGATTAATAAATCATTCTAATATGAACATTTGCATATTGACAACATTTCTTCTTATTATCAATATTGAAAACAGTTGTGGAGGCAAAATTAATTAGGATAGAAATACAAATTTCTAAAGATCAGAATTTATTTAAAGTAGCAATCTTTTGTAACATTGTGTATAAGTGTCTTTACTTATCAATTTAATGCATTCTTGCTAAATAAAGAAATTAATTTATTTACCGGTATCATATTAATTTATTTACCGGTAACTGATGTCTGGATTTTAGAGAGTACAAATTCAAACAAAAGTTGCTGTGAAAAAGTTATTCATTGTGAAAAATGAATGTACTGAATTATTAACAATTGTTTTGATTATTAATATTTTCTTAATCATTTTAATAATTCAATTTAAACTTCAATACAAGTATTGTCACGTGAGGTTGAAGCAGACGAGATAGTAGGATCCATTTGCAGATTGACTTTATTTATACCACTCAAACTATACAAAGACATACTCAAGAATCAAGAAACAGGAATCAGGAACAGTAAAACCAGCAAACAACATCAAGGACCCACAAAAACTGAACTAGACATACAGGCTTAAATACAAGAGAAAACGAGCTAACAAGAGGGTGTGGCTAATAGGAAACACCTGTGACAGACTAATAAACATAACGGGGAACTACTTAACATGAAACAATACAGAAACAGACTAGACTTGTGACAAACATTAAACTAGGCAGAAACACAGACTAGCCTTGTGACAAGTATTTTATTTTTAGACATGTTAATAATAGGGGTGTAACAATATCGTGCCACAATAAATCGCAATACAAAAATGCAACAATAAGTATCGTGGATAGTCCCCCCCCCCCAAAATAAAAATTACTATGTGAGGAAAAAATTCAAGTTTTCACAGTTTTAGTGTCAGTACTACATTGAACTACTATATATAATGTTGATTATAATGTATAATAATGCAATGGGGGAATATTTGTGGGTCCTGTTAATGCCAAATGTCTGATGTTACCAGTAAAAAGTGACGTTATTTTATTTTAAATATATCTAGTCAGTGAAAGCATGCAAACATATTCATCTACAATAACTCAGTATTTTCAGCTTCAGAATCATGAATATTGTTATTCTGGTGTCACTATTGTCCTTGGGTTACAAGCAACAAGTCCAAGCCTATTCATTTAAAGTCCCCGTGAACCGTAAGTTGCAAAAGATTTTTCTCCAGTGCTGTGACGTATTTCCAAGTGAAACGGAATATTGAACAGAGGGCAGGGTTTTACTCTAGCGCTCCTCCTCTCCATCTCTCGCTCATAGCAAACTATTACGGTTTGAGGGGGGTGGTTAAGCGTTTCCCCACCCAAGTTGTGAAACCTACGTCATCAGAAAAAGAAACCGTTCCAGACGGAAGTAACTTTTCAGATTTTGATTAAAGATTACCAAGGTAAAACATTTTTTAAATATATTTTTACTTGCACGGATTAATTGTTCACCACAAGACTAGTAATATGCGCTAACAAAGTAAATAGGTTCAATTTTGATTTCACGGGGACTTTAAACCTACAATGTAATATCAAATTTAGCATTTTAATCAACAGTACGTTTTTTTGTTAACCTTTTACCATATATCTTGGAGTATCGCAATAATATCGTATCATGAGTTCAGTATCGTTATATGTATCGTATCGTGACATGAGGGTATCGTTACACCCCTAGTTAGTAATATCACACTTAATGTTTTTTTTTAAACAGTTTCCTGATAAATATTTCCCCTTTATTCAGGATATTATGTCTTAAATCTGTAACAGTTTTCTTCCTGTTTCTTTGTAGGTTCTGGTTCTTTAAGTTTCTGGCTTTGCTGGGCTGCTGTGCAGGCGGATTCTTTCTCCCAAATCAAGACACGTTTCTAGAAGGTTTAGTATGATCTGTTTTCACATGCACACTTTTTTTTGAAACATGTGCTGCTATTGTTTCCGTGCACCCTAAAGAGGCTTGTTAGATTTTTAGAAAGTTTGATTATATCTACTTTGAGCCTGTAGTAGTGTTGAGATATCATCTCTTAAATGTCCAAGAGCAACAGTGGATCTACAGTAAGCATCTCTTTGTGGTTCATAAACTATCGCTGTAACTCAAGCGGTTGAGTAACTCAAACGATCGCCTGTGTCAGTGACCTCATGACCACAGACATATTTAGAGGAATGTGACACAAGTTTAAACCCTATTATGCAAATCATATTAATAGAACAGATTTACATTTTAGTGATATCTTTGAATCAGCACATTTGATTTAATGGACGTATATCTCAAATCTTTTAACGAACATACTACTGAGACAGCACCATATTATTGTAATCAGATGGCACAGATGATGGCACTGAATGATTTTCATAAATTTACTTGTACCTTACATGTACCTGTTACATTTAAAAACCACCCTTTAAAATAATGCATTATATAATAAACTATTATCTTAAATTGCTTATATTAGTTGTTTTTTTGATTGCATAACATGTGTTACCCCAAAATCAGTGTGCAAGAGAATTTCATTTTCATGTAAAAGTCCAAACAATTATCGCTGTTTGGTGTGTCGTTAAATGATTCGTGCTTCCTGATGTGTTTTTAGTAGCTGGCGTTTAGCAGAAAGCATTGTTTGTTTTGTCATACAGTATCAGCCAGGGGGAAAGACCTTTGACTCATCTCTCTCTCTCTCTCTCTCAGTCTGGCGTTATGTGGGGGCCGCTGGAGGTTTTCTCTTCCTCATCATCCAGTTGATGCTTCTCGTCCAGTTTGCCCACAGATGGAATCAAAACTGGTGAGCCGACGTTTAGAATGTCCAAAATAACGGTCTGTTTTTCCTTTCTATTGCTCTTTTCATTCACCAAGTGGAAAACTTATTAGGCTCCAGACTACAGTACTTTCCATCATCGTATCCAACTGTTTCTTTGGTATGTAATTTGAATCCCTGCAACTGGAAATCATTAGGTCTGGGAATGGAGACTATATTGTATTCTGATGGCGTTATTTCCACTGTCAGATAGGTTTCATAGTTGCCAGCCAGGGTGGTCCTAACATTGTGCTGCTATAGCAAATGGGGACTTTTTAACACCAGGTTGAAAGATTTGGGGAAAGTTTTACTGTACTTGCTTCTTATTTTAGTCACTGGCACTGTGGAGGACAAAGTGTGAAGTACAAATCACATTTTGTGTGCTGCATTCACTCCCACAACCTCCAGTTTCAACAACAAGCAGAGCAGGTTTCATACCAGTAACAGTTAAAGCGTTGTTTAAAGTTCTCATTCCAAGAACCAGAGCGTTTTGTTTCAGTGGGAGTTTTCAAGACATGAAACATTTCAACTTTGAGACAGTCACGCTGAAAAAAAGCTCCTCCCTATGATGCTTTCATTATAGGGAGCTTTCTCCTCCCTATAATGTCAACAGCAAAACATAAGACCAAACTCACATTATTTATGAACACACCCAGAGATTTGTGTGTTGTGGCGGTAGAGTATGGCCCTGTGTGTTGTATGGCCTTCTGAAAGTAAGAGGTTCTTGGCTGCTCTCCAGTCTGTTGACAGGAAACCCATGGCAGAGCTCAATGTGCATCATAGTTTCCTCTTTGCTCAACAAATGGAAACCTCAGCACAAAAGAGCAGAAACATTCAAGACAGTCACAGGGAATTTTGTAATACGTCAGATATGTCCCAAGAAGTCATTTTAATTTGACGAATCCGCCCTTTGGGGACTTTTATGATTCAAATGTTGATAAAAAAATGATTATATATATATATATATATATATATACATACTGTATATATGAAGAGTTCAGATGCAAAAGCCTCTAAGTGCCATTTGAAATTTTCTTCTAGAATGATCATTTTTATCAAGCTTGTATATTTAAGTTCAGTAATTTCACTTAAATGGCAATGATAATTACCTATTAATTGTTATTTAAGTGAAATTACTGAACTTAAATATACAAGTTTGATAAAAATCATCATTAAAGAAGAAAATTTCAAATGGCATTTAGAGGCTTTTGCAATGTATCCCTGCTAGGGGTGCAACGGTACAGATAGCCCACGGTACGGTCCGGACCTCGGTTTTTGGGCCACGGTCTCGGTTCGGTTTCGGTACATGTTTTGTGCAGAAAGAGACTGCTATTTCATCCCAAAAATATGTTTTATTTTTCTTATGAGCATAAACAGAATGTCACAGTAGGAAGAACATCAATGTGTATGGAATAAATTAACACTCTAGTCTGTACTGAACAACACTAAGCAATACAACCTCTTCAAATACCACTTATGATATACAAAATGTAAACGAGCACACTTTAAAATATTCAAGTGGATCCCAATTCCAAACCTTGATAACTGGTAAATGAAGTGATCAATGTGAAAGAAAAAGTGCACTTTTACCTTTAACAAAAATCAGCTTGTGGTTTGAATAAAAAGAGCTGAGCAAAATAATATAATAAAAAAATACTGCATTCAGGATACAAAGTGCAATGTTACTAATCCACTTTTGAGAGATTCTTGTGCAAAAATATACTGCAGTCAAACATTTGACTGGGTTTGCGTTATGCATCCACTATGTGCTGGGAATGTAGAGAGTAGGCTACGGAGCCGGAGGTGAGGCGTTTATTTAGTAAGCGTGAGCGCCCTGGGGCGGGCACGTAACTTACATTCGCAGCCTGACTCATATTATTCAATGTGCGGCGGCTCACTAACAACAGTTGGCTGTTTTGAATGAGACGACCCGTGTGAACGGGGAGCGCTTTATGAACATCTATGACGCGCGAGCAGCGCCGGTCTGTTCGTGTGTCTGTTAGAGTGAGCGCTCGTGAGCGACACACACATAACCTGATTTATACGAGGTTGAACTGGCCGTGTGACAAAGCGGGCATAAGCTGGACACGAGCGCGAGTTCGCGGGCGAATTTAATCCATATATGATATGGATCTAATATAAGGCACACTGTTGTTTTTTGAGAAGATTAAAGGCTTTTAAGTGCGCCTTTTATAGTGCGGAAAATACGGTTAAAGGATCAGCACGAACTCTATGGCAGAACCGAGTTCCCGCGGGACACGAGGTTAGATTGTCCCGTGCAGGGCTGACCGAACGGTCCGGGATTTTACCGTGTACCGTTGCATCCCTAATCCCTGCCTCTGCTTACTTATTTTTATCCCCCCCCTCAAAGTGATCAGTGCTACTACACTAGTAACGGATCACAAAACTTATCACGGGTCCGTGGTTTGATTAAAGTCAATTTTATTTTAAAATGCGCTTCTTTGGCTGGCTCTACTATAGCTGCCGCAGCCTCTCTGTAATCACCATTCAGTGGTGAATCACCATTCCGCTGGGCAGTGGAGCGGTGTGTCGAAACTCGAAAGGACAGCAGAATATTCAGCATATTAGGCTACTGAAGCGGGACTAAACATCACAATCTGATTATCTGTTTCTATGATGGCAAGCAGAGTTACACTACTGAGAATGGCCGAAGTTACACATATGGTGTTACACTCAATTGAGGCTAAAGCAAAGGTTTTTTGATTACTCGCTCATTCTTGAGTGTCCTGCAGCGCGATCGAGGCGTTTAGCGTGGTAGACGCGCAAATGAGGCGAATTGACTAACAAAGATAATTCTATTGTGATGGTTTGTGATGGCTTTGCAATCAATCTGTGTTCAGCAGAGGCTGATATACAGTATTTCTTTCTTTTATTAATAGCATGTTTTTTCGTTGTGCATGATCACAGTTCATATGTGCAGGGAAAGATAAGCTATTAGAGTAAAAATATTGCGTAGCTACTTCATCATAAGTAAAAAAATAATTTACAATTCCTGCAAATTCAGTGATAAAGTTCATGTTCTCATAAATGAATAACATTTTTGAATAAAATTGTTTCAAAACATCCCCCCTCTGTTTTTTTCTTCTCAATATTATATGTATAATACATATTATACATATGATATTTGAAGGATCATGTGACACTGAAGACTGGAGTAATGGCTGATGATTTTTTTCTATATTTTATAGTATATTAGAATAGAAAACCATTATTTCAAATTGTAATAATATTTCACAATATTACAGTTTTTTTGTATGTTGATCAAATAAATGCAGGCTTGATGAGCATAATATGTATATATTTATAATAAAAGCCAAATCCAGTATTTCCTCATGGAGATGTTGAAATGAAGCAGACGCTGGAGGGCTGCCCAGCAGATGGAAGTCACTGCTGTCAACACTTCTTATGTGCATTACTGAAACATTCCCTCACCCTGCTCACTCAGTCATAGTTATCATGCACCGATATGGTACATTTATGATAAAAGCATTCTACCGCTGAGACTAACTTGTCATTTAACAGTGTCTCTTTATCCAAAGTGACTTACAGTTGATGAATTTCAGTAAAAGTCTCTTGGGGCAATCTTGATTTAACAGCTGAAGGAACACAACAGTTATAGGTCATTAGCGAGACAAACATCAGGATCTCGAGTTGCTCACTGGTCCACCTTAGACTCAGCCTCGGATGGCATACCCACAAACCACAATATACAGTAAGATCTTTACAAAATTGACAGTAAAGACATTAAGTACAGTGTATAAAGTATAAAAGTCATAAAATCAAATTCAAATGTCATGTGACACTGAAGACTGCAGTAATGGTTGCTGAAAATTCAGCTTTGCCATCACAGGAATAAGTTATAGTATATGCTAAAAACAAGTTTGTAAATTATAATCACATTTCTCAATATTACTTTTTTTTTTTTACTAAATTTTTGATTAGAAAATGCAGCCTTGGTGAGCATATGAGACTTTCACCAATGCTCAAAAAATCTTAACAACCCCAAATTGATCTCAGTGTTACCTGATTTCAGATTAAATGGTTTGTGTTACCTGTTGGCCCGAAGAAGACCCCTTCTTGTCTAAACGGGCGGTTCTGGATCACAATGTATGATAGGGAATATTAGCTATGGATTTGAGATCTAGATCTGAAGGAATGTCTACAGTGAAGAGCTTTTATCTTATGAAAGGAATGAACGTTGGTCATTATGGAAATGATCCAGTTGCGTCTGTGTTCTTTAATTTGCATGTCGTCGTCAGTAAATCACACACAGAATTTTCTACTGCTTTCGGTGCTATTTTGGAATTGCGCTGTAAATCTGGCCCAATGGCGTTGAAAGACTTCATACAACAGACATTATGCAATTCTAACACATTTGTCTATTGTTAACATTTTTAGAGACTTTTAAGATTCACACTGTTGTTTATTTGAATGTTTATTGCCTCCTTGTACCTCCATTTAAGTACTTTTTTCGTAATTGCAATTTTTGTAACACTTTATTTTAGTGTCCTTGGCTTGTTTCATATGTTACACGTACTTATTGTGGTAATAGTACATTATGCATGATTATTACTTTGAACTAACCCTAAACCAAACCCTATTCTTAACCCAAACCTTATAGTAAGTATGCGTTGTTTTTTAGCATTACTCAGTACTTAAATATATTATTACCCTGTAACAGGGACACCTTAAAAAGTGGATTGCACTTTATTTTAAGGTGTCAGTGTTACAGTGTAATTATTAGGGCTGGGTATTGAGACAAATTTCACAATTCGATTCACAAGCTTGCAATTCGATTCGATTACGATTCGATTCAATATTGATTATTTTGGATATCAGTTACAATAAATGGCCATTTTTCTCAAGGGAATCAAATCTCTTAAATGCTGTAAACTATGGGAGTCTAGTTGTAGCCAATAGGCTTCATTAGCCTAATATGAAGTTAATAATGAACTGTTTTGTAGCTATACAAACACTTAAATTACACTTTTATTTATTTTTATAATAAGAAGATTATATGAAATATAAACATTTAAATGGTGGCTGTCATAAAAACTTGCCAGATTTATTCAAATATGCATTAAATATTGAAGAACATTAAGATTATAATGCATATGTAATATGGTGTGTATATTTAGCAAAATGCTCCTCTCTGGAGTTATTTTTTTCTAGCTGACTAACGAGTTTATGTGGGTTTTCTGAGGTAAATATGACGATACATTGATTACAAGCTGTTTAACTGACGTCTTTCGATACGGATGATACGGATTTCGATAAGTTGTACTCTATCTTTTAACACACTTTCAGAAGCTCATTCATGTTTATTTCGCGCTCTAAATGGTATTATTAACCCGGAAGAGAGATCAGCGCTGCTGCTTCTCTTGAGCTGCGCCAGAGCGATCTCACGCCACAGCGCCAAAACGCTATTAATGTTTTTGAATTTCTAAAGAAAATAGACATAATTTGAAAATTGAGACTTTGTTTCATATTGTCACAGTCCTCCGTCTGCACCAGTCTGTCTTGTCTTCAGCACTACACTTCCCAGGATCCTCTCGTCACCCTATCCCGTGTTCACTCTCTCATCAGCCACCTGTTCCTCGTCTTGATCATCTGTTTCACCTGTTTTCACCCCATTATGTTTGATTATTCTGTGTATTTAGTTCCCTCTGTTTTACTCAATGATTGTCGGTCGATGTTGTATGTTACCCGGAGATTCCCTGTCCTCCTACCTGTATTTTTGATTAAAATTAGTATCTTCACGTTCATCTGGACTCCTCCTATTCCTTCTGCCTGCACTCCTGCACTCCACCACCTCACACCGTGACACATATCAATAGTAACAAAGGACAAAGATTATTGCGATTTTTTTTTGGATGCGCGCAGCCGCGATACAATGTCCCATTAATTCAAAAGAAACAGGATGACTAATCGATTCTTGAGATTTAAGAATCGATATCGGTTCATAAAAATGAGAATCGATTAATATCGAGAAATCGATATTTATTACCCAGCCCTATAATTATGCACTTAAGTACAGAGTAATAGTACTCTATAGGGTTGGGTTAGGATTATGTTGAGGGTTAGTTTCATGTAAGTTTACACATGTAAGTATTATTTGTAGTTATTAATATAGTAACTAGTAACGTGTAATAAGGGAACTGTAAAATAAAGTGATGCCAAAATGTCTAACTGCAATTTTTTTTTATAGACAGAGGGACACAATTGTTTTCATCATGCCACAAAGTTGTTTTGAACCCACGAGCACTCCTTTGAACCGTCTCCAATGTGTCCCTCCACAGGAGCTCAGGAGCCAAATATAATAAAATGTGGTATGCAGCACTGGCTTTTGTCACACTGGCACTGTTCTCCGTGGCAGTGGGAGCCATGGTGTTTATGATCAAGTTCTACACGCACCCAGAGGCCTGCTTCCTCAACAAGCTCTTCCTGGGAGTCAACTGTGGCCTGTGCTTCATCGTGTCCCTGCTGGCCATCTCGCCCTGCATTCAGACCTGTGAGTTTACCAAGATGCTTGGGCTTCAGTGACCCACTTTTTGTACTAACAAGCAGATGTTTGTTTGATGTCAGGCAAAGAAGTTTATTCATAGTGCCTGGAGCTGTTCCCATGTTTGTGCAAGCCGGAGAGTTTTATACATTTAATTATCATGGATTCTCACTAAACAAACCAACTTTTAAGGTGAAACTGAGTAAGAAAGTAATTTAAAGATACACTTTCGTCACACGATACAATCAATCGTTTTAAATGCTAAAAGTGATTATAGACCAGTGTTGGCTGTAACTAATTACGGAGTAATTTAATTACTTTTCCCTTGAAAATGTAAAGTAAGGGATTACTCTTCATTTATCTGTAATTTAATTACAGTTACTTCTGATGTAATTCAGGAAAATACTGTGTATAGATCAATCCGATCTCACAGCGATTCGTATGCATTTTATGAGGTGTCTAAATCGTACGACCACACTCGTACAAATTCTTATGAATTATTGTAAAATATGTATGAAAAAAGTGTGAAAACAACAAAAACAATAGTGGGTTTAACATCAAAATGTATTGTCTGATGTTAAAAAGTATGTTTTTAAAACCTTTTCCACCTTGGTCAGTTTAAGGATAATTCATGCAATTTTATAGTATTTATTTGAAAGAATTAACACAGATTCATCATGTCTATCCTTGTATTATTCAGCTGGTTGAGATTGATATGGGATTTTGAAAGTAATTAAATACTTTTTAGAGTGTAATTAGTACAGTAATCTAATTACACTGTTGAAGAGGTAATTAATTACTTTTTTAGAGTAACTTACCCAACACTGTTATAGACATCATAGCATTATAATGTACAGTAGGAAAATTGAGAGGATATTGTATATTCATATATTGTGATTTGTTAAAGATTACATTAAAGTGTTCACTGAACGAAGGTGATCTAAATATCGGGATCACCGATATTAGAGGAAATAATCATGAACAATTAAATATACTCTACTGATATACAGTATCATGTCCATTTTCTTTTTTTTTTAAAGTAAAGTAAGACTTTTATTCGGCAATGATGTATTTCCACAAAAACATGAAGCAGCACAACTGTTTTCAACATTGATAATAACAATAAATGATAAAACAAAAAAATCAGCTATATATTAAATCTAATATATTAAAATAGATAATTCATTTTAAATTGTAATAATATTTACTGTTTTTACAGTATTTTTGATCAAATAAATCCAGCCTTGGTGAACATAATCTTTCAAACGCATTACAAAATCTTACCAACCTCAAACCTCAACCCCAAATACATGATGTATGAATAAGCCACACTCAAACAGACAGTACAAATCTGTATGTGCTCCTATTTACCAACAAATCTGATGTTTTGCTCGGTTCTCCACACAGTCCAGCCCACCTCAGGTCTGCTGCAGCCCGCGATCATCACCGTCTATGTCATGTACCTCACCTTCTCAGCGCTCGCCAGCAAACCCATTGAAAGTGAGTAAAAATACTCTCGCTTTCACACTCTAACTGTCCTGGGTGTGCCTCTCAGTGGTCTGTGGTGTGGACAGAGCCGTAAACAGAGGCTTCAGTGATGCAACTTATTAAAATCAGTCCTGTGCTCTGTCTCTTTCAGCGGTGGAGGAAAACGGATACAATGTCACTGTCTGCGTTCTTCCCTTTAAATCAGGACTGAAGAGCGACACTAACATAGTGACGGGCATCGGAACGGTCATACTGTTCGGCTGTATACTGTACTCTTGGTATGAGCAATTTTGTTTTCTCAGCCTCACCTTAAAGGAATAATTCATATAAAAAATCCAAGATCTATACCGGTATTGGTGATAACTGTGATTACCGTTATAATAATACACATCTGATAATATTGTAAATATTCCAGTGCCAGGAACTAATCTTGTTGCCACCAATTGTAAAATAAGAGAAAAAAAGAAAAGAAGACACAATGTGTAAAATTGTCAGAAGAGAGGACAGACAAAAACAAGACACACTACCTATACCCCACAAGAGTTAGAAAAAGATAACCCAGTTTGCAGGAAGTGCCGAAATAAACGGTAACGCTTCCTTTTACAGTCTAGTTACCCATGTAAATACTATGTACTTATTTTAGTAACTACAATTACTGGGTAATAATTAGTATTAACCCTGAACCTATCCCTGTTCCATGTACTTACCTTATATTAGCAGTACTTTCTAGGTAAGTACACTGTAAGTACTGTACTGTAAAAGGAAGCGGTACCAAATAAACTCATAGAAAAAAAAAAGTTTATGAGAAATTCTTAATATGAATACCTAGGAAGCTGACTTCTTCACCATAAACAATTTGAACAACCTCCAGCTGTCAATATAATATAAAACAATACTACAGTACCTCTGGGCAATTGCCATCCCAAATACTGTATATAACAATATAATACAGCAGTGTCTCTGGGTAATTCCCTTCCCGAACACATACAATACAATACTATACTTAGAAGTAATTCCCATCCCGAAGTATGGTGACGGCGTCCCATCAAGAAGATACTATCACTACCCCAAACCACACGTGAGCACCAGGTCTTTAGCATCTATACACTCTTCTCAGGTATACGCTGGCCCGACAGTGTATTACAGTACCTCACAACACTATCACTGACCCTGCTGTGGTTCTCTGAACACCAGACACGACTCCCAAGTTGCTCTTTGTGGGAATAAAAGTTGTATTCACAGCTGGGAGCTCACTGGTTACAACAAGCTAGAGAGACTCTCTGACCAGAAATGTACATTTATATCTTACAGTTAAGTAGAAATCAATGTCACTTCAAGTCTACTTTATTGTGATTGGTTATACTGATTGGTTTGTAGTGATCTAAACTCATCATATGACTGAGTTACTGTGTTGAGCACTTTTTGGGTAAGTCTAGATTCTATTGACACACATGGTCTTTAACCAAGTCTGCACTTTTTTGCACATTCCATGTTGAAGTATCCTTTAAATCAGACATTAAATAAAACATTTCCGTCACGGGTTCTATATAGAACTGTTGGGTTCTTTACTCAATTTTAAATTTAATGCCAAAAAGGTTCTAAATAAGGAGAAATTTCTTAAATGATTGCATAATACTTTCATGTTGAACAGGCAGTATGTATGTTTTATAATTTTAATCATCAAGATTAATTACATTTAAATCCATAAAATGATCCCAAGATGGAAAATCCTAAAATGTTCTATATAAATGAAGCACCTGACAGAACCCTTTAAGGTTCTATTTAACCTTTTTAAGTTCGGAAAATCTGATATTGTGATGGCCCTAATCTAAACCGCATTCTAAAAAAATAAAAAAAAACATAAAAGTATAATACAAGATATATCTTAGTCCATATAAATCATACACTGTTCCAAAAGTAGTTCTTGTGTCAAAAAGTGAAGTTGGAGTAATTTCCTCGGAATATTTGAGCGTAAATTTTTTTTTAAAAAATCTCCAAAAGTTTTGTTCTTTCATAATCAAACCAAACCTTGTGTTCTACTGAAGAAAAATATAATAGAGTTTGGAAAGACGCAAAGATGCATAAACGACAGTATGTTGTACTGTATGTGTGTAACTGTCCCTTTAAATATGCTCAGATGTTTTTAGTCTGAATGCAAATCCCCATAACATGTCATTTAAATGGGTGATCCCAAAAACTTAACCCAGGAGGAATAGAAACACGTAATTATCTGGCTATGACAAGATGTTCATTTAGATTTAAAAGCAGGTAGTCTGGTCGGAAGGGAGTGAAGATTAGAAGCTCTCAAACTGTCAAGACGTGAACGCACATGTGTTTCTCATTAACTGCAGACATGTCTGCTGACTGAAGCTCTCTCTTTAGAGCCGCTCCTTTCCACCAGCCATATTTACACACATATGTGATTCACAGCGATATGTGTTAGTTATCAGCCCAGTGATTCATTGTGGTGTCTCCAGTCGAAATGCTTTTGCCATATTTCCAGAAAAATTGACTTGTTTTTTCGTCTGGTTCTGTCTTGATGAGTTGTAGTCTTGGGAATGTTCTGCTTTTACATTTGATGGTTAAAAAAGAACACTGCCCCCATGTGTCTGATGTAATTTGACTTGACATAAAAATACTCTTTCCCTCCAGTTTGATCTCCACCACCAAGAGGAGTTCAGCAGCCTTGCAAGTGTACAGGAACGACATGCCTGAAAATGAGGTGATCGTTTGCTCACCTTTGTTTCTCTCTTAGTTTGATTACATCAAACTAAATCATCAATCATGCCATCTCTTCTTTTTTTTTTCCATTCAGAGAGCCCGCTGCTGCTTCTGCTGTGTTGATGATACAGGCAAGATGCTTATTTTAACCTACACCAATTTTAGTATTTAGGAGATCACGATTTAGGAATAACCCATTTTCAATATTAATTTGGATGGTCTAGATCAGCGGTTCTCAAACTGGGGGCGCTAGGGGCGCTAGGGGGGCCGCAAAGAACTTCTAGAATATGAAATTATTTAAAAAAACTATTTTACCTGTATGTAAGTTTGGATTGTCCTATGTGAAATCTGCATTGCATGATTTCTTTTATATTGTAAAACTTGTATAAAATTGTATGTCTTCTATATTGAAAAAGTATTTCTTTAAGTAGAGTAGAATTTTTTTTTTGTTTCTTGCTGAAAAAACCGATTGCTGTTCAAATTTGCAAACCAAACTTGAGCCACTGTCATTTACTACCTTAAAATGTAAGAAGTTTAATGCACTTTTTTACAATCAGCAAATTAATTTTTCAGTGTTTATCTTTTACTATGAACATCACAAATGTTCAGTATTCAATACTTTTGTCGCACTTTTCAGACAATATTACTGTTAACTGTCAAAACCATTTTTTATAAAAAAAAATGTTTGTACAATTTAACTAATTTTGTATATTCAAAGACATAAAGCTAAAAACAGAACTGTTGTTCCAGCATTGTACAAATTCATTTGTTTTTGGTACAATCTAAAATTTGTAAGTAAAATTGTACGTTTGAGGATGTTTTCGTCATGAGTTTTCTTTTGGGGGGCCACAAAAGGATTCACCCTACACAAGGGGGCCTCCTCCTGAAAAAGTTTGAGAACCACTGGTCTAGATGGATAAAAGGGTAGATGGAGCCTCTAGGTGGTGAAGAAGAATTACTACAGGTTTCTTAAAACGGGTATTTTTTATATATGTGTATATATATGCATATTTTCCAGAAGATTATGATGATGAGAAGACCGCAGGAGGGCAGAGTGTGAAGTATGATGAGAAAGATGGCACAATCTACAGCTACTGGTACTTCCATTTTGTTTTCTTCCTCGGCTCCCTCTACGTCATGATGACTGTAACCAACTGGTTTCAGTAAGTATATACAAATGGGTTTTTTTTCTTCACTTTTTTATTTTATATCTCTGAATGTCGCACCAGTTGTCATTCTGAATAAGTTATTTTAGTAAATAAGGTTTCTATTCCTCAAAAAATGGGTGAATAATTAGAAAGTGAATTATGTTCATTGGGTTAAATTATTGTCTACATACACTACCTTTTTATTTTTTTAAATAAGACTCTTATGTTAACCAAGGTTGCATTTATTTGATTAAAAATACAAAACAAACAGTAATATTGTGAAATATTATTACAATTTAAAATAACTGTTTTTTATTTGATTATATTTTAAAATGTAATTTATTTTTGTGATGCAAATTTGCTTTTGTTAGCATCATTACTCCAGTCTTCAGTGTCACATGATCCTTCAGAAATCATTCTAATATGCTGATTTGCTGCTAAAAGAAACATTTTTTTTTTATTTTTTTCAATGTTGAAACCAGTTGTGTCAGGATTCTTTGATGAATAGAAAGTTCAAAACAACAGCATTTATTTATAATAAAATGTTTTGTAACTTTTTAAATGTATTTACTGTCACTTTTGATCAAGTTAAAGGGTACATATCATGCTTTTAAATCATTAATTTTTACTTATAAATCATACATTTGTGGTCTATATAAAACATAACTACAATGCTTGGGTCTGAATTCCTCATTATTATAGCTCCACAAGCCTCTTTTCTACCCCTTTTCCGATGTGCGTCTGTGAGCGACCCGTTTCAAAGCGGCCCCTTTAAATAAAATGGAGTTGCGTCTTTCCCCGCCCGCTCTCCAGGTCGATGAGTTCACACTCGGTTCAACTCCCCGCGTTCGGCCATTATTGTAGTTTGATAAGAGATATACGATTATATACTATAGCTTCAAAGAACATTTTTAGTCACTCGTTAACAAAATGTCAACAACGGAAGACTTGTCCATCAAGCCTTACATATTCAAGCCAGAGCGAGCGAGTTGAAAAAGACAACGACGAACCTGCAGAACAACGTCTTCATATGGACGCAGTGGTATCTAAGTTAACTATGTTGTGTTATTAGTGAAAGTCGACTATTTCTCTTGTTAAAACAAGCACACTGACAAGATAAATGACTACGGTATAATCTTACCACTAAAAATCTGTATTAATAATAATATAATAACTTGCGTGTAGAAAAGCATCAGAAAACACAGCAGCTAAATGATAGAAGGAATTTACCCCTCATTCAGACGAAGTCGATCGGCAAACCCTTCTCTATACTGGCGGAGGTTGTTGAAGTGGGGATCCTTGAAGTGCTTCAGGTCACTACATCCAAGAACCGAACATTTTGACTTGCCCTCTTGTAACTTTTGCATCATTGAGCTCGGACTACAAAATCGGAGCGAGAAATAATAATGGCGGATTGCTCGAAGTGTTGGACCGGTAGTCAATGTCCTTATTTGTCAGTTCCGCTGCAAATACGGTGACATGATAGTTCAAAAAACGTCGTAGAGAACAGAAAAATCTGAATAGGTTGAAAAATATAACCAAAACAGAATATAAAGATATAAACGAAGCACCTGAAGAGAATAATTTCATCTTTTCTGTACTTGAAAAAAGTGGATTTTGCATGATATGTCCCCTTTAATGCATCCTTGCTGAATAAAAGTATTCATTTCTTAAATTTTCTTTCCCAAAAACAAAAAAAATAATAATCTTACTGACCTTTTGAAACTTTTGAACGTTATGGTAATAATCATTTCACAATATCGCTGTTTTTAAGTAAATGCATCCTTGGTGAGCAGAAGACAAAATCCCAAACTTTTGAACGGCAGTTTATATATAAGTAGTACCTGAAATGTATATTTTTTTTACATAAAATAATTAATAATTCAATTAATGTAGTCAGATAATTGTATTATATTTGCGTCTAATTTTACCATTAAATTCCTGTAACCTAATAGAAGCCCAGTATGCAGTTATGAAGAATACCAGAATGCCAGAGGTCACTGTTAATATTCATATGATCTTCTCTCTTTGCAGTTATGACAACGCAAAGATCGAGAGGCTGCTGGAGGGGAGCTGGTCAGTGTTCTGGATCAAGATGGCATCTAGTTGGGTCTGTTTATTTCTGTACATGTGGACCCTGGTGGTTCCAATGCTCTTCCCAAAGAGATTTCAAGCCTAGAAACCCTTCACACATGACCCAGTATCACCACTGTCCATTTACAACTACTGTGTGTGAGAGAGAGAAAGAGAGAGAGAGAGAGTTTTGTCTTTTTTATTTGTTTTCTTAGTTTTAGCATAGTAAAGGCTCAAATGCTGCTTATGTTTTGTTTAAAATTCATTTCCGTGGAGATATGTTACAGAAATCATGTTACGGTTGCTCCCATACTGATGTAGGGCTCTTGTTTACCTCATAACATGAAGGTATGAAAACAAAGCATTGCTCAGGCTCACACATCACCTGTAAGTGTCTTGCTTGTTGCGCTTTTCTGTTGGTAGCTGAAGAATTCTATGCAAATCTGTGATTTTCATTCAAGAGTTTGTCTGCATTTTTTAATGTAATATTTTTTAGGTTTTTAGTGTTTTTTAGGTATTGTATTTCACTACGGGCGTGTTTTACTAAGGTAACAGGACTTTTCATTTGAGTAAATGTACCTATTTATTAACTAGAAATTATGATTAGGTAGGACACTGCGGCCTTTGCAAGACCACGGGACTATGCCGTCTATCAGGGGAACAAACCAGCTGAGAAATTACATTGCAAGGTTATGCCAGTACATGTATGTGAATAGATTTACTCATTTGAGAGTTCTTGTTGTCGTATTTATTGAAGCACCCTCATAGTTTCTTTTTCAGCCTGCGCCAAACCAATATTTCCAAATAAGTCTGCAACATTCCTAAAGTTTCCTATCTTTTGGTTTCATCTTCAATCTCAGGTAGTGATGAAATCTACATATTTAGCATATGGTATTTCCAGTGAATCATACCATTCTAAGGAAAGTATGTTACTGCCATTCCCAGTTAAGCTTAATATGATGATTTGAGATGGCCACAACATTATGCCCCGAAAACCTAAACTGTCATACAGATTGTTATATGTCTGGCCCATAGCAACATTGAAACTATAAATTGTTACTTACTTTCCCAGTTTTGTTACAAAAATGGTGCTTTAGACCATGGGTGACCTGTAATATTATATCTCAGCAAGAACACATTTATACCATATTTTATACTTATAAAGCATTGTTACAGCTCTGTACAGCTATTGTATTTAATCTTTCAGAGGTTTTTGTTGCTGTAAGTGCATGTGTTTCTTGATTGTGGTGTTTACATAGTTACTGGAGCTGCCCGTATTAGACTCACTGTAGCATTCCTGATGCTCCCTGGTAGAAAAAAAGTGGTTGGCGTTGTCGTTGATGAAGAAAATACAATCTAGAACTGGAATTATTTTGACATTTTATGGTTTTTTCCTGTGTAGCAGTTGTATCTACCCTAAATGTTTTGACCAAACAGACGAACCAAAATCTCTTCAGGATGTCCGAGTCTTTCGCTAGAATTGGAGCTAGAATGTCTTTACTTCTGAATAACTTCTCATAAATGCCCTAAAGAAATCTGTCTGATGATGTTTTTGTATGTTTCGAGTGAAATCGAGAAAATGATTGCCTTAAACACTACATGTTACAACTGCATCAAGCTATACTGTTTTATGTAACCTGTGAATAATTTGGTGCTCAGTATTTGCTTTTAACTGTGTTTGTCTGGATTAAACATTATGCTTTCCTTTATTTACGAATATGCTGAACATAAACGTGACATTTAATTGCAATATGTGCTTTATGTAAATAGTCCTTTGTAAAGATGACCACTAGGTGTACTCATAGTATTGCAAACAAAAGTAATCTTGCGCTTTGTGCTGTTCTCACTAATTTCGCATGAAAACATTATAATCCAAAAAATATGTACAGTAAGTTTAAAACAATTCTTTTCCTCATTTGTATGACTTGATTTGTATTATTATTATTATTATTATTATTTACTTTTCCTCATTATTTCAACATGTTTCATGAAGGGTAAAATGAGTTTAACTGTTGCAGGATCAAACCCATATTTTTAGTGTTTTTATTGGTATTTCCAGTTTCCACTTTCAATAAAAAAAGACAAATTAATAAAATGCTGTTGTCTATCGCTTTATTTAATGTTTTTATATATGAAAAAAAAAACATTATTTATGTCATTTAGTGGTGGACAAAAAAGTAACTAACACTTCTACACTCGCCTAAAGGATTATTACGAACACCTGTTCAATTTCTCATTAATGAAATTTTCTAATCAACCAGTCACATGGCAGTTGCTTCAATAGGGGAGTATCACGCTGATACATAGTACTTCTGGATTCTGTGATCTTTGTGCACTGCCACTTCCGTTGAATCACCGATCTCGCTGGCGAACTGATGAAGGACTACACTAAGTTTATTTATACGGCATCCCTGGTAAATTAGTCTGATTCACTAAAGTTCCGGCTGCAAACAAACGTGCTACCTTGTTTTATTTTATAGTTTTAATCCACTTCTTCCTTATAATCAATTCAGTTTGGGAATCCATGAAAACTTAAGTAGGGTTGGCCGTTGTTGGTTAGATTTACAAAGTGGAACAGAGCAGTGACATAAATAGCATTCGTCTCAGGCATTGTTGAACTGCGTCGGAAGTGGACATGCACAAAGTTGACAAATCCCGCCCATGAAACCCGGAAGCGTGATAATCCCCTATACATTTTGGGTTGTGGTCCTGGTCAAGACAATCTCCTGAACTCCAAACTGAAGGTCAGAATTTCTGCTGAGACATTCAGATGATAGAGTCATTATTTGGTGTTACAGAATGAGAACATGGATCCATCATGCCTTGTTACCACTTTGCAGGCTGGTGGTGGTGGTGTAATGGTGTGGGGGATGTTTTCTTGGCACATTTTAGGCCCCTTAGTGCAAACTGGGCATCGGAATTGGCTTTTTTGAACATGACAATGAGTTCACTGTACTAAAATGGCCCCCACAGTCACCAGATCTCAACCCAATAGAGCATCTTTGGGATGTGGTGGAACGGGAGCTTCGTGCCCTGGATGTGCATCCCACAAATCTCCATTAACTGTAAGATGCTATCCTATCAATATGGGCCAACATTTCTAAAGAATGCTTTCAGCACCTTGTTGAATCAATGCCACGTAGAATTAAGGCAGTTCTGAAGGCGAAAAGGGGGTCAAACACAGTATTAATATGGTGTTCCTAAATGTAATCCTTAAGGTGAGCGTATATGAAAATATGATGTCATTTTTGAAGGTGTCATTTTATACTCAAACTACTTTCATTGAGCTTAACTCAATGTTCAATTTCAGTCAGTTCCTCACACAATGACGACAGAATATTTAAAATAGAGCAGATCATATGTATGGGCCACTTGCAGTGTTTTTTTAAGTTTACATCCATGGTCACTATGAACTGTTGCAGTATAGAAAATACCTGACCAATATATGCAGTAAGAAGTTGAATGTGACGTTGAACTTGAAACTTGAAATAATTTATTTCTTCTGCTGAACACAACAGAAGATATTTTGAATAATGTTGGTTACCACCAAAAAGTTGATTTGATGTCCCCCAGTGACTTTCTTAGTATTTTTTTTCCTACTATGGAAGTTACCGACTGTCTTTTAATTTTTTTTTTGTGATCAGCAGAAGACAGAAATTAATTCAGGTTTGAAACAATTTGAGGGTGAGTAAATGATGAAAGGATTTTCCTTTTTAAGTGAACTATTCCTTTAAGCCTAACTAATTTATTCCTGATATCAAAGCTGAATTTTCAGCATCATTAGTCCAGTCTTCGGTGTCACATGATTCTTCAGAAATCATTCTAATATGGTGATTTGCTGCTCCAGAAATATTTCTTATTATCAGTGTTGAAAAGTATAGAAACTGATATCTTTTCAGGATTCTTGGATGAATAGAAAGTTCAGCGTTTGTTTGAAATATAAATCTTTTTATACATGTATTTAATGTAAAATTTGATCAATTAATGCATCGTTGCTGAATAAAAGTATTAATTTATTTAAAAATGATTTCTTACTGACTTACTGTGTGTGTGTGTGTGTGTGTGTGTGTGTGTTTCATAAAGGTTCGAGCAACACAACAAATACTGACAATGTGCATTTATTTATTCAGTTTATTAATATTGAAATGTTTAGTGTCGTAGAACACAGGCTTTGCTCTTTTTTGCTGAAAAGCATTCTCATAGTAAACACTACAGCACATGTGAATTCTGCATAACAATGAAACTATGTTTTGTCTTAAATCCAAAATTCAGTAAATAGTCCATGTTTTAAGGGAAATAAAAGTATCCAAAACATCAGTCACATCTGGAACTTCTGTAGAGGCGTTTTACCCCTAATAGTGCTCTCCTCTTTCTTCCCAGCTTAGTTTCATTACTGCTGGCCTTGTTCCTTTGTATAGTCTTCAGGGATTGTGTCTGTAAATGTCAAAAGACATAAATTAAGATACGCTGAAAATACAACCTGTTCCTCTAATATTGTTTGAGCACTGCACTCACCGTTACAGCGATACCTCAGGTTGGACCAGATGATATTTTCCTGTGAAAAGCAGAACACACCGAGACGTCCCCCTCTCATGCTGGTGTCGTTAACAACTCCAGAGTCCGCAATCAAGTTGGTGCCTTCATAGAACTTAACTCTGTGCCAAAACAGAGAAAACCCAAAAACATGTTGCTTTGCTTCAGTGAATTGTTTCTCCAGTAAAGTCTGAAGTCTCCAATATTTACAGCATCTAACCTGATGTATCCCACTTGGGGTCTGTGCATCAGATTCCAGCGGTATGACACCTTGTCCTTCCAGCCCACATTACGAGGGTCTTTCCACAGCAAACGCACCTGGTCATTTGTATCTCCAGTGTGCCACAGTGAATTCCTCAGGAACTCTCCAGGCCCGGTTTTAGACTTTACAGCCTGGAAATGCACAACATGTTGATGAATGTCTTCAGTCGAATAATCAAATCTAATTGCGACTTACTTGAAGTGCAAAATAACGATTTGGTTTCAGATTTATCATGAGTTAAGTATTTTTGCACACTTCAGAGTTTAGCCAAAAGCACTTTTGTAAATTTGCTGAGGCCTCAGCGGAGCAGCAGTTAATGGTAAAAGCACACGCTGAGCATTCAGACGGACAGTAATAGAGATGTAGAGCGCCCGGGACCTTAAGCTGAATGCCAGGCTCAGCCACGGCTCGAAATGGCACCGCCTGCCAGTATGTCTGCTCCGTCTGTTTCCACATCACCACATAGAAGCTGGAGGAATCCTGGTAGCCAAAGATGAATCCCGCGTAGTCGTCATCGGTCACTGTATTCACGTGGAAGGTGCCCTCAAAGTCCACGCCACTGAATGCTGTGTATCCTGTTGTGTGGTAAGATTGTGTCATCTTCTGACCCAATTTTTCAAAATACTAAAGTTCAACCACTTTCTTCTGTGGATTTTTAGAAATAATAATACAGTTCTGTGAGTCCATATGATACAAGTGGATGGGACCATCAAAGTTGACGCTTCAAAAACCACAGAAAACGAACATGACGGTAATCCATATACGACCACAGTGGATGATTCAATGTCTTCTGATTCAATGTCTTCATATGTGCCTTCATGTATTTGCTATTAAAGTAAACATCAGCAAACATCAGTGTGTTGGGGGATCACACTTCTCAGCCTCCCTGGGAAAGTCAATGCCAGGGTACTAGAGAGGAGAATACGGCCGATAGTGGAACCTCGGATTCAAGAGGACAGAGAACAGTGCGGTTTTCGTCCGGGCCGTGGAACACTGGACCAGCTCAATACTCTCTACAGAGTGCTGGAAGGTTCATGGGAGTTTGCCCAAGTGCTTTATGGATTTGGAGAAGACATTCGACTGTGTCCACCGAGGCGGCCTGTGGAGGGTGCTCCGGGTCCTTTGCTAAGGACTGTCCGGTCCCTGTATGACCGAAGCAGGAGCTTGGTTTACATTGCCGGTACTAAGTCAGACTTCTTCCCGGTGCATGTTGGACTCCGGCAGGGCTGCCCTTTGTCGCCGGTTCTGTTCATAATTTTTATGGACAGAATTTCTAGGTGCAGCCAGGGGCCGGAGGGTGTCGGGTTTGGGGACCAAGCAATTTCGTCTCTGCTTTTTGCGGATGATGTTGTCGTGTTGGCCCCTTCACATCAGGATCTTCAGCATGCACTGGGACGGTTTGCAGCCGAGTGTGAAGCCATGGTCCTCAGTCGGAAAAGTGTGGCTTGCTCACTTCAGGTTGGTGGAGAGATCCTTCCTCAAGTGGAGGAGTTTAAGTACCTTGGGGCTTTGTTCATGAATGAGGGAAGGATGGAACGGGAGATTGATAGAGGGATCGGTGAAACTTCTGCAGTAATGCGGTCGTGTACCGATCTTTTGTGGTAAAAGAAGGAGCTGAGCCGTAAGGCAAAGCTCTCAATTTACCGGTCAATCTACTGTAGTTCCTACTCTCACCTACTATGGTCAAGAGCTTTGGGTGATGACCGAAAGGACATGATCCCGGATACAGGTGGCCGAAATGAGCTTTCTCCGCAGGGTGGCTGGGCGATCCCTAGGATAGGGTGAGAAGCTCGGTCACTCGGGAGGAGCTCAGAGTAGAGCCGCTGCTCCTCCACATCGAGAGGGGTCAGCTGAGGTGGCTCGGGCATCTTTTCCGGATGCCTCCTGGACGCCTTCCCAGGGAGGTGTTTCAGGCACGTCCCACTGGGAGGAGAGATGGACGCAGGAGAGATTATGTCTCCCGGCTGGCCTGGGAATGCCTCGGTGTCCCCCCGGAAGACCTGGAGTAAGTGTCTAGGGAGAGGGAAGTCGGGGCATCTCTGCTTAGACTGCTGTCCCCGCGACCCGGCCCTGGATAAGCGGAAGAAGATGGATGGATGGATGGATGGATGGAGTATACATCAGCATATTGTGATGGTCTTTGTGTGATCTTCACAATGCTTGCTTACATCAACCTTCACAATGTGCTGGCATAGTGCTTTACAATGCAGTCACCTATCAGAAGGCCACTGGGGTCGTATGGGTTACCATCGTGTTCGCTTTGCATGGTTTTTGAAGTGTCAGCTTTAAGGGTTCTATCC